CATATGGGTAAGTTTTATGAATCCGATAGTCTTTTTATATTGCCTGTATGGATCGCGTTAAGTTAGCTCTTTGGGGGTGGTACGGTGCTGCTTTCATAAAGTCAACATCAGCCTTCATGTGACAATATCGCGTCCCAATAGCTGTAACGTTACGGGCTTCATTTTAACCCGATCGTCGATATCATTGTTGATGGAGACACCTTAGACATACGCCAGTGCGCAAGGAATAAGTTGACGCAACTGTAAACGTTGGCGTGTGTGCGCCTACTTCTTTTCTCATTTACTCGTGTTCTGTCAAAATGGGCTTCATCAACAAAGCTGCGACTGTCGATAAACCAGGCGTGCATTAGAAGTTTTGTTGGCCATAAACCAATAGCGCGTCGAGACCATCGCGGTACTCGAATCTACGTCGCAGTTATTTCCGTACGTTGCGCTAATTTAGATATTGATTATTCTGACTGGAATAACGCCGACGTCCTTTTCTATGTGTGTTTCTTGCGCAATGTGTTTGGACAGGCGAGGAATAATGGCGCTCGGAAGTCGAGGTTGTAAATCAACCAAATATATGGCAAGTCACTGCGATGGGGTTTTGTTCTATATGAAAGCACACGTCATCCTTCACAACCTCCGTTACAAGTTTCCGCAAAAAAGAAATGTCTCCTAAAAAAGAAAGTCACTGTTTTTTTGTTTGTTTCTTAAGCGTTTTAGGAAGCATTGTTAGGTTTCATTTTGTATTAATGAAAATAGTACGAAGTCTTTCAGTTTTTATGTAATGACAAGAGACGTTAGGGTATTAAAGGGATTATCCGGTCGCAACCGGAAGTACTTAAGTTCTTACGCTCGTTACGTCGAGGGAGCCTTCATGTAGACAAACGTCATTTTTATTTTGATATATGATCTCCCGTTATTAATAAAACCTTTCATGAGCCTATATACAAAACTGCACCCCGAATTTCGTCAGTGTCAATGGCTGATATCCGTAGCTGCTGCGTGACGTCACAAAACGCAAAGGTTTGTCGGATGGTCGGGATAACAAGCGTTGGTCGACGGATGTCTTGTATTTTGTTTTGAATTATGCAGTCTCCTAGGCTGTACTGTACTGAAAGACGGTTCTTGTAATGCAGTTCCCAAGCATGTGCAAAAAAAGTCGCGCCTTTTAGCACGAAATTACTCGCAGACAGCCATAAGCTTCGAACAAACGTATGCTGTTTCGCGCAAACACAACTGCGACCGATCGAACTGGGGCGCTTGCAAAGCAAAGGATGCAGATTTCTCCTCTGAAGCGGCACCTATAGGTACACGAAGCGGCATCTGGGTACACGTGTCGGCGGATCCACTGGATCGGTGATGAGGCTGCCGGTCGTTCCCTCGGGGGCGATGCCCGCGGGTCGAAGACAAACGCCGAATCGTTCAAATGCATGTCGTCACTTGACTTGGACGAGCTTGCCTGGTGGATCGTAGTCACGCTCCATTTTCACACGCGGGTCAAACTGAATCGGGCTGCACGCGTGCTAAATACAACTTCTGGTAACGTTTCCAGATGGCCTAGCTGTTGGTTTCGGTTTCGCTGCATAATCAAATTGATTGATCCGATTTGGGCGAGGAGTGGATGGACGTAGGTTAATATCGCTGGCACAGCATCACACCTCAGCTTACCAGCCTTCTGTTTGTTTAGATTTCAGCTCGTAGCTCTCTTCTGTGAGATGATTGCTGCATAAGCGGGATCTCGATCTTGACGGGAACCCAGTCCCTACGAACGGCGACGATCCACTTCGCTCGTCACTGCACGCCTCGCGGAAAAGTGTGGAACGTCATGTCTTGGGGCTTGCATGTGCTGCCCGGTGGTTGTGGCACCCAACCGCGCAACAGAACTCTCACCCAACCACGAAACAAGTCGAGCACAACAACCAAAACAAGGCACGCTGAGAAGTTCACAGCTTAGCAAACTGAGCAAACGACGAGACAAAAATGCTCGCTTTGCGTTTTGTGACGCAAGAGCTGCAATGTTGCCAGCGAAAGCAGCGATTACGCAAGAATGCGATTGGAGCAGTATAAATTCAAGTACTCACGCAGAGTGGCATATCAAATTCAGATATTGCACGTACTATGCGTCTCGAGGCAATAACTATGATATTCAATTGTTTTCTCGATTACAAAATTTGACCGGACAATTCCTTCAAGTAATATATGGGTCTAGAAAGAAGTATTGTACAAGCTGGCAAAAGGAAACCTCGCCAATTGGTTTGGCAAAAAACAACAAACCTATTGACATGAATAGTCAAGTGGTTACGCAGACATTTTACGATGAATTGTATATTTTTCTTATAAAATGCGAGAAATATGTGATCCTCACCCAAGTAAGCTGAATAAACCAATCGACTACTAAAAGTTATCGGTGATTCTTTTCCAACAATAGGTATAAGGTGGTGGAATTTTGAAGGAAGTTATGGTGCCGAGTTTTAACTTTTGTCAATGCAGTTCTGTGTATAAATCAGTGTGTCGAACCGAAAAAAATACGGGTTCGGTTACGGTTCAGTTTCAGGTAAATTTATTTTGTTCCGGTTCAGTTCCGGTTCGATTAATTCGATCCGCGAACCGGTTCGCGAACCGGTTCGGAAATTATAAATGACAAATTGCAACATCAAAATAAATTACAAATGAAACATCTGAAATCAGCACATACGAAACGGGATACATCGTAGTGTAAGGCTCAGGGATTTCTACCAGGAATGGTTTCTTTATTGGCACTCAAAGGTTACCTCACCGACGTTTACGCATTCGGACTTCATCTAATTGGGTCCGACGCAGTAGCTGTAAAATCCGCGACCTCCTTACAAACCCACTTACAAGTAGAACTCGCTAACTATCCCGCCACCTCGGCGTGTAAGCAATTGAAGGAACAGTGGGGAGAAAATACAGCTTTCTTTATTTGAACTAGCCTTCGGTACCTCAAATTAGACCCTTAAAGAAGTTTTCATTAAACAAGATACGGAATATGAAAAACACTTCACCGAACGCAACGCCAGAAGGACGTAAGAGGATAAATATTAAAATAGAAGAGTTCGCTGTATCACAAATATGTTAGCTTCTAAGTGCCTATACGAAACCGGATGCATTATTATCAAACTCCACAGCCTTTTCTTTTCTCATTCCGATGGAAGCAAGCTTCAAGAACTCGCGCGTTCTAGAAACGTGTTATGAATTGAGCACACAGCAGCATTTAGGATTTACAAGATTGTAGAAAAATGAAATCCCGTGACGCGATTTTTTTTTTTTTTTGCACAGCCTTCCAATTCTCTTTCTTCCGTGTAAGCCGCGACCAGCGCAATACTGGTTCCTATGTCAAGATTCATGGATGCAGCGTTTGTCAAGATTCATGGATGCAGCGTTTGTCAAGATTCATGGATGCAGCGTTTGTCAAGTTTCATGAATGCAGCGTTTATATTCCTAAGACTGAGTGGAGAAGAAAAATATGTAAGCGAGGTGTGTGTCAGTTGACGGCACTTAAAAAACAAATAGCATTGATAGCACATTCATTGTCAACAGCGCGTGGCCGAACCGTTTTAGCGGTAACCGTTATTTTTTTTCCGGTTCAGTTCCGGTTCGGGTTCATCGCGATAACGATATAACGGTTCGGGTTCGGGTTCAGTTCCGAAAAAATACCGCTTCGGTTTCGGTTTTCGGTTCGGTTCGGTTCCGGTTCGACACCCTGGTATAAATGCTGACATCCAAGCAAGGTTAGAAGTAAAACAACTCGCTGTGTGTAGACTGGCGTTGAAAGCGCATGGTAAAAAACTAAATCATAAGGTACATGGTGATTTAGGGTGGTCACCATTTGAGGGCAGGAACGCTAGTAGTAAGATATAACTTGAGTAGAAACTAGTGAACGTCGAGGAGGAACAATGATGGGCATGGAGAGTTTTTGGCTATTTGTGCAAATACACAAAAAGAATAAAACACATGAAGGGCGAACACAGTGTCTGTGTTCGTCCTTCGTGTGTTTTATTCTTTCTGTGTATTCTGTAGTTTTCAACGCGCTCTGCTACGTGTACTTGCACATGAAGACCGTTGATACGAAGTGGCTCAGATTAGGAAATGACAGTTAAGAAGAGCGTTAAAGCAACGGAAAGGCAAATATGGGAAGCTGGGAAGAAAACAAAAAAACGACTTTGGAGCCTTATAGAAAATATAGGATGGATATTGCTAAGGAAATCGTCTATGACGATTCCAGGAGAAGCGATCGTTGATTGAGGCCACGACAGGGGCGTTACTAACTACGGTGTACAGAGCGAAATATCAGGCCATAGATACGGTGTGAGTGGCATGTGGGGAACAAGAGAAGATGGCTGTGAACTTAATACCTTACAGTAAACGGCTTCATTCGGGAGTTGTTCAAGGCGATACTGATTTAGTGTGAAGGCTTTGCGCTTTAAATGTAGCAACAAAAAAATAGACGCTGGGAAAGCTGAGATCACCAAGCAAAGGTTATCGAACTGGAGGCATGAGTCGAGGGAAGAATTGAGTTTCGTGGAGAATGGTAGATGAAGGCTTGTGCTTAATAGCGATACAAGATTATCTTGCCTTTCTTCATTGATTACGAATTTAATCGGAGATAAGTTAATTTAAATTAGAAGCTTTAGTAAGGCGGCGCGAGCCGCCTCCCGATTTAAAGGGCTCAGCCTTGTTCATTCATCCATCCAAGTTGAACAAGCAACGAAAGTTAGCACACGGGCGAGAGCCCAGTGGCACACTCTCTGACTCAGCATGATCATGCTTAAAAATAGCGCGCTTTTTCTGCGCACGTGCTGGTATACCGGGGGCGTTTCTAGTTATCATCACTTCTGTCTGTTGAGACAACAAGGAAATTATCCCGTGACGGGCGTAGGGTCCACGCACTCAGAAGGCGACGACAAACGCGTGGGTGGGCGGTAGTAAAGAGTAAAGGCAAATCACATCAAAGTGCTCGAAAGCGTGGGAAAAAAACAGGCTGAGTCAGATAGTCGTGGCGACCTCACTCTCGTCCGCACGCCATGTCTCGTCGACAGGTCGAGGCGGCTTCTAGCGATACAAGTAAGTCATCGCTCGGTTTCTTTAGCTTACATTGTCCACTGCTGTAGTCGCCTACCTGTACTGCAGCACGAGTATGCTATGCAACACGCTCACGGAATGTCCTTAAGGTGAGGTACTTGAAATGCACCGTTACTCAAAATGTATTTCCGAGACGGTTGTAACGCAGTTAGTACCCAAAGTGTAACGCTTGGGTGGGTAATCGACGTGCAGTCCATAATGAAGTCGTGTTTTCTATTGTAGTCAGTGACGAGATAATAACGGCAGGGGGACTCATTCGAATCCCCGGTCTTCGGCACGCGCTCGTTGCCTTCCGTCATGCTTTGGCAGGGTGTGCACGCACGAGGCTCACGAGACGCTTAAGCGTTGTCGAAGATAGAAACCTCGCGCTGTATTTTTAATCATGTCAGTAGTTATAAAATCTCTTATAAACTTATGTCATTGCCTCGTATATACTGACAGAGCCTGGCATATCGCCACGAGAAGCGGCCGCCGAAATAAAAAAAGATGGAGCGGCGCACAACGGATAAGAGGAAAGTCACGTGACTGGCGCCCCGCTGCGGCGAGACACCGAAACACACTTGTTCGTTCGAGAGAAGTGTGGACCTCGCCGCTGCAAAAGCTCTGCTCTGACGTCCAGGTTCCCCGAGAAATGGCTCTTTGATGCTCTGTGATACCAGATCCTCGCGCTCCGAATCTGCCAGGCTTTGTGATTATATATAAAGGAGGCTATGCTTTTGTTGATCGTTCTGACGAACCTGGAAAACACGAGGGTGCGTCGTGTGTGCAGTGTAGAAGCGAAACCAGCCAAACCAGTAATCAAGCATAGAAAATTATAACGCACGCATAATGCCCGCGCGATACGTCAAGTGGTCCTCGGGATTACCAGAATGATGAATACAAGTTTATTTTTTGGAAGCCGACGCAGCCAACGATACTGACGGGCGCCTTGTCTTGGCCGCTGAACTGGTCCACAAGGACATCTGGGCTCAACTGGCCGCTGAGACCCACGAGATGGAAGTGACCAACAGTATTAGGTAGGGTTGCACCGCTTTCTCCTGCCAGGATTCGATTTCAAGTAGAATACATTAAACTCCATCTAATGTTGGAAAGAAACATTATAAAGGGTGTCCCGACCGCACCTTCCGCTGTAAAACAAGCCGGAAGAATTGCCGCCTGCACATAGCTCAAACGTTCACCGACTGTGCACTGAGCAGGGCAGGTGTACCTTGTGTAATCGCAAAGCGAAGATCCTTTCTTAAAAAAAAAAAATAAGGCAAAGAATAAAGCCAGGGCTGAGCGCGTTCTCAGACGACCGAGTTATCGATGGTATCTACGTGTGGCGCCATCTCCCGATAGGCGCAGCGAGAAGACAACAGAGTACGTCGTCGTCTCGCTGGGGCTATCGGGAGGTGGCGCCACAAGCAAATAGCGTCGCTTGCTTGGCCGTGTGCGAACGCAACCAACCTTGACTAGGGCGAGTTTTTCGCTCTAATTTCTTTTTACGGGATGAGAACTGCGCCTTGAGGACGTCTGGCGGTAGAACTGACCTGCTCTGTGTACATTTGGTGAAAGATCGAGCTTTTAATATTGCCGGGCGTTGATTTTTCCCGCTCGTTTTCTGCGGAAGGTCCACTTGGGACACCATCTATGTCATGTCCCAAACAGACACGCACTAACAGCAGTTCACTTCAGCTGTGTGGGCAACAAAAGTAAAGTACTTGTTTGTAGCCGAACGCTGCATCAGCGTTGGCCCTGGACTCGTGTCCAGTTAGTGAGACAGCGGTAGAACTATGGACGTTGGCGAACGCTGACTTGGCACCCGTGTCCAATCTGTGTCCCGCGCTTGATCGAGATAGAAGACGTAAAGAATCCGGTGGGCAGACCATCCTAACCCCACCTGTAAGTGAGCAACGCTGATAAAATTGGCGAGCACATTTTTCCCCTGCCTGTATTCGCTTTAGGTATTCGATATGAAAAGCCACCGAGGCTCACGGCTGTTACAAAATTGCTCTGTACTTCGTTAGACACAGCCGACGCTTCGAGCTGCTAATGGAACCAATCATGCAGCGTCAAAAGGGCAAGTCAGTTGGACTTTCTTGTTTATGATTGGTTCGGCGATGAGGGTACACGTACGAAAACATTACAAACACCATGCATGATGCAGCGCTTTTGACGCTGTCTGATGGGTCGCATCAGCTCGTAGCTTCGGCTGCGTCTGGACTTAAAGGCCAGAATTGTCTTCTGCCGGGTCGAAACCCGGTTCCCAGTTTCTTTCTCTCCATTCCCTCTCGCACTCTTCTCTCTTTTTCTGCCCACGGGAACGGGTCTCCGAGCAACTCCCCGCAGAGAGGAGGAGTGTCTCTCTCCTTCTCAAATGGAAAGGAGGAATTGAGTTTTCCCCTTTCTGCTCGTTGGTCGGCCTTTAAGGTGTGTTTGACGTAACGTGGCGGTATGAGGTAACATGACTGACTTTGCATGACGTCATGGTGTCATGTGACCCCGTGACGTCAAGCGACTTCATGGTGAAACCTAACGTCGTGATGTTAAATAACGTCATATCAGGTTACATCACGTCACGGGACACTGTGACGTCAGAAACACGTGACGTAATTGTGTCACGTGACATCAGTCCCTCGCGACGGATCTTCATGACGGTTTTCTCGTAGGATTGGGTCAACGCCGAACCATCTTAGCGGAACGTATAGTCCCCAGGATTAATACGTCCCTTAGGCAAACTTAGGCTGCTATTTAGAACTTTAGAGAAAGTTCCTCTCTAATATCTTCATTCAAACTGTAAGCACCTTTGGATTTCACCCGCTCTACCTGTCAGATGAACAGGCGGCGCTCACCCGCTGGACTTGTATGTAAGATGGCAAGACGTTAGCATCCATGAATCGGTTCGCTTGGGACAAGCTGCCGCACGAATCCTGAAGCAGTGCAGATTTGCTAATAACGTTAAATATTACTTTTAACACGGCAGGTAACCCGGTACTTTCGAAAGGTAAATTAAGAAATTTGTATCTATGAAAGGAGTGAACTTCACGAGGTATACTCAGTCGAGTGGGTTGTTCTCAGGCTTGACAGTATGGGTATACTGACAGGCAATTGAATGATGTCCCGCGCTTTTCTCAACGTAGGAGGATGACTCCGGCCCTGATCATCCGGGTCCGAGGCCTCCAACCCGAGGGAATTTACAGACTGGTTCTCCTCTTTGTGCCGACGGAAATGATGCTTCGAGGACTTGACGGCGTCTTAATTGCCGACAGGGAGCCCCCTATGCGGAATTTAAATAGTAAGAAACAGGTCTTCATGGCGCTTGGTTCGCTCTTTCTTCTGATAATTTGGTCGTTCTTCTTGAACATTTACCACCCAAGTCTTTATACCATACAAAGTATCAATGATAGCTTTTAAAGCTGGATAATCAAAGCTAAACGCAGGTCTTTTGTTTCTTAATTTTAAAAGCAGACTTTTTGAAAGTTGCTCGGTTGGTTGTTTCCTCAAGACTGTCCCAATTGATCGGATTCACTGACCACCGACAAAGCCAATCAAGCGAGCTGTTTTTCGGCATTAAACCAAATCCTCGCGTGAAGTGTTTACTACAACGATTGTAGATGGCTCCACCGAAAACTCTGCTACAGAATGTTAAAGATAAGCTTCTGCTGGTAGTCAGATGAGCGCATCGTTATGGTCTAAGAACAAGCGAAAGAATTACACATAAAAAGACGGAGCATGCAGGCCGGTGGGGTTAAACATTGCTGTTTAACTTTTGGACGAATTACAAATGTGTCATCATGTCTATTTTAATTCTAAATATTTTGTATTGTCTTAGAAAAACTAGAAAGTAGCAGAAATATAAAAATGACAAAAGTCGCTTCTCTTTTTTTTTTTCAGTTTCCAGCTACGTTCATCCCTCTGGAGCATTGAGTGGCCTATGCTGGATGTCAGAATTCATCGGATTCACTGACGTATGGTTGACCACCAACCGATCTGCTAATCGGCCTAAGGTTATCTTTAATAAATCCTTTTGTGTTCCACAGTTATCACATCCTGACGCGTTTGCTGTCAACCGCATCCTACTAATATATAGTTTCGTTGTCTCGTCAAGAACAACCCAGCCGCTTAGCGGCCTAAGATTATGTTATAAAATTTCGATATAATCAGTGTACTGCACTGAAGGACGCATTACCTCCTGTTTCCCACCTTTATTGGCATCATCATCTACCAAGATAATCCGTCGTGCAAGTTGCCGACCGCATCATCTCAGCATCTTTGTGTAAAGTACAAGACACGACCCTCCGGACAATTGAGAGACGATCGCTGATTGAGAAGATGTTCTAAGTATTCATATTCAATGGCGTCCCATTTTCCACCAAACTTATGGCTTAACGTCCTGCTTGGTCTCGTCCGTGGTGGCCGTTCATGTCAAAAAGTGAAGAGGTTCAAACATGGTCCGTCGTTCACGTTATCTTTAACAGTTTTGGAGAATGGCAGAGTAGAGTCATTATCATCACAGACTTTTCGTTGCGGCAGACGCCCGCAGCGACAAACCAGGCATCACATCCGTAACATGGCACATGAATCAGATCAGGGCAACGGTCACAACGATCATCATCACTTTCGTGTTCGGCAGGACTCCTTAGTTTATAGATGCATTCATCTGTCCTCCGTTTTTTTTTTTTTTTTTTTTTTTTTTTGTATTTGTGTTTTTGCGCGACTGTACTCTTCATTTGTATATTTATGTTTATTGGCCTGTCCAGCCGTTCACGTGGCCGATGCGAGGAAGCTGCTGACTGACGTAAAAGTAGCTGAGCGCCAGCGTTTTTTTCTTTTCCCATACCTTGGGAACGTGATACACGCAGGTATGCATGGACCTGTTCAGACGGTACCAACTAGTTGTCCAGTTCTTTGGACCTGGTAATCCAGAGTCAGTGGTTCTCAGACAACTCCAGTTCGTGACCGTCGCTCGCAGTGCCTCCCGGTCCCAAATGAAGCTCAAGACAGAGAAAAGGGGCATCCCAGCTATGAACGCGAAACGAAAGCGCACAGCAGGGTAAGTAGACCGAACATCCTACTTTGCTTGAGTTGACGCGTTCTTGTTATACCACTCGCAGACACTTAAGTCAACCTTTTTTTACGCCCTATTCTTGAACGTCTTCAGCTGATCACAGAAAGACATATTCGTAAACGAGGTACGCTGCTAAAATTGTTATTCAGGTCGTCAAGACGCTAATTTTGGACGAGCCTAAATGACTGTTGTGCTGGTGAATCTAGAGCCTTAAGTAGGTTTATATTCGTTTGCCTTCATCTCAAGCAGCGCAACGTATCAGAGGTGTGCCGAGGAGAGACAACCCCTACGTGCATTGGAGCCAAAACAGTTGGATCAGGACCTGCCAGAGACCAGCTCCAAGCCTTCTGAAAGCAAGCGGCCTAAAGTACGCGACTGCGACTCCTCTGGTCTCCCGATGAGCCCACGACCGGCAGTCCTACCTCAACAGGGAGCAAAGTCCCCAGGTCGGTACCCGTTACCCACAGTCGCCCAACAAGACTTCTGGGCACTTGTCTTGCCAACCACCTGCTCTGGTGGCGCAACCAGTCCTTCTGGTGCAACAAGTTATTGTGGTGCAAACAGTTCTTTTAGAGCGAACAGTCGTTTCGACGCAACCAGATCCTGTAACGCAACCAGTTCTTGTGACACCACACGTTCACGCACTGTTCCCGTCCAGACGTCACCAAGCCTTCAAGACGGTTCGCCGGTTCAGCGCAGTGAGCCAGCCCATCAGGCTTCGTTAAGTTTTCGCGACTGCTCCCTGCCATCCACTTCCGAACAGTCAGCCGAGGTTTCAGTAAGGCAACACGACTTTCCGTCAGTCCCGTGTGACATTCTGGAGAATGGTCTCGTTCCGATGGACATTGAGCAGCGTGAAGGAGACCGTCTCGAAAAAGTCTGTGCTGATTTAAACGTGTTTCGAAGTTTCGAAGTCGAAGTTTCAAAGAGAACCGAGCAATCCAGATGCCCACATGCCGAAGCATTCTGGACCCGGATCTGCGCAGTCTCCTTGAACATGTCTACTGACTCGGTTTCAGACATCGTTGCTACTGAGAACACAGACAGTGAAGAGTTTCAATCTTGCATCGCTGCGTTAGCAAGTGACATCGACTGCGATGCCTCGACGTCGGTCACCACAGTTGGAGAGAGGCTGATGGAGGTTCTGGTGTCTCAGTTCTTCTCGCTGAGGCTAGGGCACCTGCCCACGTCGCCCCAATCATAAAAAGCGACCGTCCAAACGCTTCGTTCCACTACTCTATATTCTGGAGGCTTTCGGTTTCTTTGTTGTACCCTGGCGAAGTTAGTCACACAACGCCTTCCAAAAATGAGGCAAAAATGAAGTGTCAAATGCTTCCACTTCACAAAATTAGCCGATTACGATGCCGAATTAGTGGTCATGGCATGCTGTGGCACTCAGGACTCCGAGTTCGCAGTCGTGTTCTAGCAGTAAACACGGTATATAGCTCGTATTGTATTGTATTGTATTTTATTTGACTTTTCTTGCACAGCATTCTTCATGCATGCTTGGAACTTGTAACCAATGTAAATCAGGTTTTAATCTCAGTGAAATATCTACTTCTCCCTTATCGAAGTGGCATTTGTGGCTATTCATAGTTCTCGCAATTTTAATGTCTTGTCTGTTATTTCATCTTCATGACGCCTATCATTAATAAATAATGTCTCACACTCACTGCTTGTAGGTTTCTGAGTCTGTGGCGAAATTTGCCTTCTTGGGTTGCGATTTTTTTCTTTTTTGTTGGTTACTGAGATTGTTTGCTGAGATATATTTTTAACTTTTTCGTTAGTCAGTCATTATATATATCACGCATCCTGTAATATGTGCCTTTTACGCAAATTACATATTGCGCCTTCCGAATTAAAAGATTAATAACTAAATCAATCAATGAACCAAGTTTTCTTTCTTCTCCATCGAAGAGGGGAAGGCAGGGAAAAAAGTGAAAGCCGTTTACAACTCCCTGTAACACCGAATTAGAGCGCAGCTCTTGAGGAGGAGGAGGGAAGGGTACTGGGGGGGTGAAGTGACCTGGGGGGGGTCACGTGACCTTGGCGGGTCACGTGACGATGCCGATGATGTCATCAGTGACGATGACGATGCGGACTCCGATGACGTCATCAGCGATGATGACGATGATGATGCGGATGTCGGTGACGTCATCAGTGACGTCACTGATGTCATCTGTGATGATGACGATGACGATGCGGATGCCCCCCGAAGTCACGTGACACCCCCAGGTCACGTGACCACCACAGGGTCACGTGACCCCCGCCGAGGTCACGTGACCTCCCCGATGACGTCATCGTCACTGATGACGTCACCGGCATTCGCATCGTCATCATCACTGATGACGTCATCAGTGACGTCACTGATGACCTCACCGGCATCCGCATCGTCATCGTCACTGATGACGTCATCAGTGACCGGCATCCGCATCGTCATCGTCATCATCATTGATGACGTCATCAGTGATGATGACGATGACGATGCGGATGCCGTTTGACGTCATCAGTGACGATGTCATCGGGGAGGTCACGTGACCTCGGCGGGGGTCACGTGACCTGGGGGTGTCACGTGACTTCGGGGGGTCACGTGACCTTAGGGGTCACGTGACCTTGGGATGACCTTGGGGGCCACGTGACCTTGGGATGACCTTGGTTACGCCGACGCCGACGCCGACGGCGACGCCGCTCAAGCCGGGAACGGGCCCCTAAGAGCTGCGCTCTAAAAAAGTGAAAGCCGTTTACTACTACTCCCTGTAACACCGAATTAGAGCGCAGCTCTTGAGGAGGAGGAGGGAAGGGTACTGGGGGGGGGGTGAAGTGACCTGGGGGGTCACGTGACGATGCCGATGACGTCCTCAGTGACGATGACGATGCGGACTCCGATGACGTCATCAGCGATGATGACGATGACGATGCGGATGTCGGTGACGTCATCAGTGACGTCACTGATGACGTCATCCGTGACGATGACGATGCGGATGCCGGTGAGGTCATCAGTGACGTCACTGATGACGTCATCAGTGCTGATGACGATGACGATGCGGATGCCGGTGACGTCATCAGTGACGATGACGTCATCGGGGAGGTCACGTGACCTCGGCGGGGGGTCACGTGACCCTGGGGGTGGTCACGTGACCTCGGAGGTGTCACGTGACTTCGGGGGGGGGGGGGTCACGTGACCTCGGGGGGTCACGTCACTTCGGGTGTCACGTGACCCTGGGGGAGGGGTCACGTGGCCTCTGGGGGTCATGTGACCTTGGGATGACCTTGCGGGGCCGCGTGACCTTGGGGTGACCTTGGTTACGCCGACGCCGCTCAAGCCGGGAACGGGCCCCTAAGAGCTGCGCTCTAAAAAGCAGCATGTCGCTACTTGGCGAAGCCCCCACCTCCCCTTTACATCCGCAGAAGAAGCTCAACATATGAGTGAATGAACAATTTACCATATATAAGGACAGGCAGTCGAGTGTTTATACAGGACAGTGGTGTCAATTATCTACAGTGCAAAGGGTTGAACAAGGTAAGCATAATTCAGAGTTCCACACGCTTGCTCATAGAGTTTCGTAATGAGCACACAACAATGCACATTGACTTTCAAAAATATATGCGCAACTGTCTATATACCCTCAAAACATGACAACACCTATTCAATGGATCACTCAAATAAGCTACGAATTTCCTTTTTGCTTGTGCTTGCCACGAAAATTCTCTTCGCTTCAAACTTAATACGGAGTTTTCGTAGACCGCGCTGCCCCCTCCGCTAAGCGTTCCGCAACGAAGAAGTTGCTACTGCGCCTGCGCGCCGATAGCCTTGAACTGTGGAGTTCCCGCTATTCTAGCGGGTTGCGGAGGGCCTTGCGGGATGGTGAAAACGATCTACGAAAACTCTGTATTCTGCCTCCGCGCTAACGTAAACCGCTTACCGCTTTTGTACGTTGTCAGTTTGTTCCCCTGAAGCACGTCTGGTTCGTATTACGTCGGTCTGTTTCATTGACACCTATGAAATACGTCATTTCCTACGTATACAGTTCCCGAGTGCATGTACAGGTAGTAGAAAGTCATAAAAATGAAAGCCGTTTACAACTCCCTGTAACGCTGAATTAGAGCGCAGCTCTTGAGGAGGAGGAGGGAAGGGTACTGAGGGTCACGTGTTCTCGGGGGGGGGGGGGGGGGGAGTCACGTGACCTCGGGGGGGGGGGGGGTTAGGTCTCACGTGACCTGGGGAGGGGTCACGTGACATGGGGGGAGGGGTCACGTGACCTGGGGAGAGGGGTTACGTGACCCCCCAGGTCACGTGACCCCTCTCCCTGAGGTCCTCTCGACGGAACCCGAGGTCCTCCCGAAGGAACCCGAGGTTCTCCCGAGGTCCTCCCGAGGTCTTCCCGAAGGAACCGGAGGTCCTCCGATGTCCTCCCGAAGGAACCCGAGGTCCTCCGACGTCCTCCCGAAAGAACCCGAGGTCCTCCCGAAGGAACCCGAGGTTCTTCCAAGGTCCTCCCGAAGGAACCCGAGGTCTTTCGGGAGAACCTCGGGTTCCTTCGGGAAAATTTACCCATAATGCACCGCGCGGTTACGCCGACGGCGACGGCGACAGCGACGCCGACGCCGCTCAAGCCGGAAACGGGCTCCTAAAAGCTGCGCTCTAAAAATCATTTGTGTGTGTTTGTGATAGTGTTGCTCGGAGGCAACGACACGCGCGAAGTGACGGGGATTGTTCAGAGAAGAAACTGTTTATTGGCGAACTTCACATTTTTGTTGACAGTGTAATTTGATGTTCTAGTGAATTCGAGAACCGTCTTGCTGATTCGAGGTGAGAATGTTCTACACACCGAATCAGCAAGACGGTTCTCGAATTCACTAGAACATCAAATTACACTGTCAACAAAAATCTGTAGTCAACAAAAATGTGCAGCTGGAAGTCGAGAAGGCAGCGACTTTCCAGCGTGTCATGGACACCGTACTGGCAGGACTGAAGTGGCAGAGCTGTCCCGTCTACCTCGATGACGTCGTAGTGTTTTCCACCGACTTCGACGAGCACTGGCGACGACTCCGTGCTGTTCTTCAAGCCATACGGACCGCCGGACTCACCCTCAAGCCGTCAAAGTGTCGCTTCGCCTATGACGAACTGAAGTTTCTAGGCCACGTGGTTAGTAACGAAGGCGTTCGCCCCGACCCAGAGAAGACTCGCGCCGTCGCGTCATTTCCAGCGCCGACAGACAAGAAGGCCGTGCGAAGATTCCTTGGACTTTGTGCCTACTATCGTCGCTTTGTTCGGGATTTCGCAAGGATTTCCGCACCACTCACAAACCTCACGAAGGACGCCGAGAGGTTCGAATGGGCCGAGGAACAGCAGCAAGCATTCGACGAGCTGAAGCGACGACTCCAGACGCTTCCGGTTCTTGGACATTTCGATCAGGATGCGGACAGTGAGATTCACACTGACGCAAGTAACGCAGGACTTGGCGCGGTACTAGTTCAAGTACAAGAAGGCACCGAGCGAGTCATCGCCTACGGAAGTCGGACACTGTCCAAGGCAGAGAGAAACTACTGCACGACTAAGAAAGAATGCCTTGCGGTCGTCTGGGCAATTACGAAGTTTCGTCCGTACTTGTACGGAAGGCCGTTCCGCGTAGTCACGGACCACCACTCGCTCTGCTGGCTTGCGAACCTCAAGGACCCGTCAGGACGCCTCGCTCGATGGAGCCTCCGGCTACAAGAGTTCAACATGACTGTGGTTTACAAGTCGGGACGCAAGCACAGCGACGCTGACTGCCTGTCCAGGGCCCCTGTCAAAACACCTCCCGGCAGCAGCGACGACGATGACGACGAGTGCTTTCTAGGGGCAGCGAACACCGATGACATGGCACGACGTCAACGAGACGATCCGGAGCTGCGCGCCTTAATGGAGCACCCGGAAGGGCGCGTGAGTACCGTGCCCCGTGTTTTCTCACGAGCCCTGCCAACCTTCGCCATTCGACAAGGTGTACTCTACAAAGAGAACTTCGGGGACAACAACTCGCCGTGGCTGCTGGTAATCCCGACCGACCTTCGAGAGGAGGTCTTTCAAGCATGTCACGACGACCCGACGTCCGGACAACTTGGATACAGCAGGACATTGGCCCGTATTCGTGAAAAGTATTACTGGCCCAAGCTCCCCAAAACCGTCCACCACTACACCCGATTCTGCCACGAGTGTCAGCGACGCAAGAAACCGCCGACGAAGCCGGCAGGTCTCCTGCAGCCAATTCCTCCGCCAACTGCACCGTTCCAGCAGATCGGAATGGATCTACTTGGTCCTTTTCCGCCGTCGACCCTGGGAAACCGTTGGATAATCGTCGCCACAGATTATCTCACGCGGTACGCAGAAACGAAAGCCCTTCCTTCGGGGACTGCGGTTGAAGTCGCCAAGTTTTGCTTGATTCCATTGTCCTCCGGCACGGCGCTCCCGAAGTTCTGATTACAGATCAGTAAGGTACGTTGTTGGGCTAGTTGGTTCATCTTAGTAAAACATATAAAATAGCGCAACAGAAACAAGGACAAGAAGTAAACAGGACAGGCGCTAACTTTCAACTAGTTTTATTCTGGAAAATCGAACACATATATACACACGCCAGGCAAAGCAGCACCACGTAAAAGTTGATTAATTTTTCACCCGATCATTCAAAAACTGAAA